TAAAGTGCTTGAGTATTTTCAAAAACATTGCCCAAAAGTGAGTTCTTGGGCATAAGTTCGTAGTGTACATAAACACTTTTCATGTTTTGAATTTTTGATCCTTTACTTTTTTTTTACTCCAGGGGGGTCTGGGGGAAGGGGGGCTGGGGGAGCCTGGAGTAATCAGGGTTGAAACTCACTCCGTTGAGTTTCGCACCCTTGTGTGCCTAGCGACCTCTCACTAGACACGGTAACCTCACAATCAGCTGGGCTGGAATGCTTGGTTATGGAAATAATGAATTCTGTCAAGGCCTTCAAAATTTTTTATTTGATATCTTGTTAGCCATGAGAGACATTTTTCCATTACACAACCGATCATTCTAGAGGAATTGACAAAAAAACGGATGGGAAGGCTTTCTTGAAGAAGTCAAGGAGTTTTGCTCAAAACATGAAATTCATGTACCGATGTTGAATTTTGAATACACGGTTGGTCATTGCAGAAAGAAACTACAGTTGAACATCATTATCACTTTGGTGTTTTCAATGAGGCAATAGACTTTGTATTGATGGAGTTAAGGACCCGATTTAATGATAAATTAGTAAAACTCCTTTCTTTGAGTGCTTCATTGGATCCCAAAAATTTATATGGGTCATCCAATGTCGATGTTATTTGTACTCTTGCAAGGAATTTCTATCCCGAAAATTTTAGTAGTCAGGACATTCATGCTTTGGAATTCGAGCTGCAACACTATGTTCATGATGTATTCATGTACAAAGTTGTAGTATCTACATTTGTTGAATTATGTGAGGAGTTGATTAAGAGCAGAAAATCTGATTCATATGTTATGATGAGTAGATTGATTTTCCTTTTATTGAACTTACTGTTCTTTTGCAAAATTAGAACACTTGTTTTATGCCATGAAACTTCTAAGGGCAGCACTCCTCAACAAAATGGATGATGACTTTATACTAAAAAAGACATTACTCTTAGTATAGACGCAGACTCTATTGTTGATGGGTTCTTTTTGTTTCAAAGCCTCGTTGAGAACAAATTTAATGGAGAACTCTTATATTTGATTTTTTGTTTATTTTGAAAATTTTCAATGTATTATTATTTAAGTGTTTCAGCCCAGCCCAACATGAAATCCTGGACCAACTTTCGTCTGAATCATTGTTGTTATGCAATTGTCTCAACATCTAGGAGATGTAAAGTCTGCTAATCCATCTATTGTAGATGGGAAATAACCCTTTTAATTGTGATGAACTCTAATATCGTTTTCATGGCTTCTGTGTAATGAGGAATTAGTTTGTGAAAACATGGCGAATCTGCACTTCATCGGTAAACATGCCAACTTAAAGAAGGGCATGTTGAGGAGGCTGAATATATGCTCATCTTTCTAAATATAATACTCCGTAGTGTTTAGTGCAATACATTTAGGTCAAGTGAATAAGTCAAAAGCTCCAAAGGCTAAATAGAACTAGAAAATTAAGGTTATCAAACGGAACCATGTCGGATTTCAGTCAAGTTACACTTCTTTTTTCTTAGTTACACGCAAAGATCGATAGAGGTGGTATGTTGTAATCCTTTTTTGAAAATCATACTCCGTACAATAGTTAACATTTCAATTATTTTCTGCATTTTTTCCATTAATTTCTGCAATTTTTGACATACGTTTCTCACATTTCACTCTCTGCTTACACGATTAGATGCAATTTGAAGGAATTTGTAGGCTCATTGATCAAGGTTTAATGGAAAAACTTTCTAAGTTTCAAAAAATTGAAGGTCTAAGAAGGTAGAGGTCCTGTTGAATTTCAAATATGGATGTCATCAATAGAATACACCGGCTAATTACTTCCTACTTAAAATTGCACATAAAAAGACTATTTATCTCAAAAAGGTTTGTGTAAAATTTTTGGGTTGACATACAATATACTCATCCAAAAGCTTAGACACTTACTGTTTAGGGATAAAAATAATTTTAATAAACATCCACAAGGCTTTATATTAGGGCATTACAATTGTTTGACATTGCCTACAAATGAACCAAGTATCCTTGCTAATATGCACAATCCTTCAATACACAAAATAGTGTTGGACATATTACACTCGCGCAGACGCGCGACCAAATTTCTAGTTTGTTAATAAGCTTGGCGTATTAAAGGAACTCTCTAATATCTGAAAACTTCAACTCATAATGAAATGGATCCTTGAGAAAACCTAGAAGATGGGTGCGCGCATGGAAAGCCTAGAAGTAAGATTTGTTCAAGGAGTGCCGATTTAGCCATCGACACAGTTCGTTTCAATATCGGATGATATACCGATTACATCTGATTCTTATATCGATAGGCTCATGAAGTTTCCCAGCGTTCAATTCCAGCAACGTCCAGTTCCAGATTTTTGAGATGGGGTTGTGGTTTTGGTCCGGCATATTATTTGGCCGAGAGTTATGTCCGCTTCATGTGAGCGTGTATTTTGTTCTTTTCCTAGCAATGTCTGGAGGTTGTGTCTTCCTCATCGGTGTAATCGATCGAGTGGTTCATTATTCATGGTTGACAAGACAGATTTATTCTGAACCACCACCTTACTCGAAGAAAAAGATAGCGCTCAACAAGATCTCCTTTTCGGTGGATGGTCAAACTGATGATCCAAACAATTTCTGTTCAATTGAATTTTCTTTGTTGGTTGATGGTCAAACCAATTCTCCCTTTCCGGTGGCTGGTGAAGCTGGATCTCTTAGTTGCAATTTTTTTTTCTCTTTGGAGTAGCAAGAAGAGTAGCAACGGTGTTAGGCTGGACTACATTATTGCGGGATTAGCGATATGGAAGGATTCATTGAATTTTTTTCGTTCTATGTCTTTTCCCATTGTGGCCTTAGGCTATTCGTTCTCTTGTATCTTTGCTATGTTTTATTAATAAATTGGTTATTTGATTTTCAAAAAAAAAACTATGACTTATTAAAAACATCCTAATCCTAGCGTTTCAGTTCAATTGGTCAAGCCAGACTTCTATTCTAAAAAGGATGACACCCCATCCCTAAGGGCCCCCCACCGATTTCTAGCATTTCTATTTTAAAAAAAAAAATTAATCCCAACGTTTCTTTTCTTAAAAAATATTATTAAAATAAAATTTATTTACGCAAATATGACTAATGAGTATTACAATGTAATGTCATGATAATTTAAGTTTAAAAATTGAACATAAGTTATTTTGATTCTATTACTACTTTAATCACTAATCAAATTTTTATAAACAATCTTTATTTTAATCATAAATATGTAATTATTTAAAAAATAAAAACTTTCATGTCCAAATAGTACTTAGTCCAAACATCTTTATCTTTATCGTTACAAAATAATACTCTGCAATAATCCTTATACATACAATACAAAATATAATAATGCATGATACATAATACATAATACAAATACGAAATACTCACTCCGTATTTAAAGGTTTGGTACACTTTCCTATTTGAAATGTATTTAAAAGTTTGCTTCCATTTTGATAATTTTTTCCTTTAAAAATACCCAATTATCCTAACTTTTCCTAACTTTTCACCTTCTCTCTTACTTTTTCAATAGTATTCATTACCCCTATTATTCCTCTCTTAAATATTGTGTCAAGACCTAATGTAATCATCTTTTAGGGGGTGTCCTCAATTAGGAATTCATAGGAAAAGTCATGAATTCCTAAAGGATTAAGATTTTAATGGATTGATATGGAATTGTATAAAATCTGTGGGATTCTAATCAAATTCCATGGAATTTCAAATCCAGCTTCAACCCTAGATTTCTCGCCACCATGAAACATCGACCCAAGATTTCTCGCCTTGGACTTGTTCCTCTCCCTCCAAGCTCTTGTTTATACGGAAATTGTCCTAAATAGGACTAATGAGTTCCTAAAAAGCATAAATAGGACTACTACTTTTAAAATTCCCTAAATAGGACTAAACATTGATTTTCTACCCTAAATACCCCTTAGAGTATTAATTTATAAAGAAATGCTTTAATTCATAATAAAATCATAAAAAGCGTAAAAAATATTTAAAAAACGTAAAAAAATTATAAAAAATTTATAAACCATTTATAAAATAAAAAATTTAATTTTTTATTTTTTTAATTTTTTTAAAAAAATAATAAAAAATAGTAAAAATCCATAAAAAATGAAAAAAATTATGGATACCTTTCCCACCGCCTCCCGCCGCCTCCCAGCACCACCACCTCCGATTGGTGAAATTTCTTCCACTTTTGGTAAAAAAATGCCATATTTTTCTGAAAATGCCAAAAAGATGGCATAATTACTCTTCAATATGCCAACATTTTAATTAAATATGCCATCATTATGGCATTATTTAAAATGTTGGCATATTTTTCTCCGGTGATGGGAGCTGGTGGTGCTGGGGGTGGCAGGGGTGGTAATGTTTTTTTTTTTTAATTTTATGATTTTTTTTTATTTTTTTTATTTTTTTTTAAAAAAATATTTTTTTTTTATTTTTTTGAAAAATATTTTTATTAATTTTCTATTATTTTTTTACGATTTTTAGTATTTTTTTTCGATTTTTATTAATTTTTTTATGATTTTATTATTAATTAAAACATTCATAAGTTACAAGGGTATATTTGTCCAAACATACATAAATAGTCCTATTAAGGGAATTTAAAAATGTAGTCCTATTTGTGCAATTTGTTCACTTTTTAGTCCTATTTAGGGAATTGACGCTTGTTTATACTACCTCCGTTCTTAAATAAGTGCAACATTCTAAATTTTACACTATTCACAAGTTCTACTTTGACTACATTTTATTTATTGATGTATTAATATATTTTTTTGAAAAAAATATTACTAAATTTGTCTCATCGTAAATTTTCAAAATCTGATTTTTTTAAAGTTGTTTACTAATAGAGTGTTATATATATTAATGGTCAAAGTTGTACCTCGGCAAATGTGAAATGTTGACTGTTGCACTTATTTAAGAACGGAGGAAGTACTATTCTTCCCACCGTAAAGCCTTGCCACTCACCTGCTTGGAGATTCTACTGTCAATCTTGGACGGATTATGGAATGCACCAATTCGAATCACTTTATTCCTCTTTAGCTCTTCAAGATCTGCGTTTTCAGTTTTGACCAAAAGAACACACAGTAGAACATACCAGTAGAAAGAAAGGAAGAATATGTGCCCGTTTGGGGGACTAGAAATTGGCTTATAAGCCTTAAAATCTATAAAAATAACCAAACACTCATGCAATGGGCTGATCTGGCTGTTTTTTCCGATCAGCTCAAAAAGTAAGTATATTGCTACTTTTTCAGCTGAAATTTATTTTTCTACTATTAAGCTATTAAAAGACATTTTTATCCATGTTTTTAACTAAAACACACCCCTGGAAGGTTGTAAGCACAACTAAATCATTTTCTGGGTGCACTTCGTACTGCATATTAGATTCAAGCCACTGCCTTTCAACAAATACGAGTATTATATACAGTACTTCGTATTATAGTATCCACCCCCTTCAACATTTTTTTATTTAATTGGTAATTGAAACACTTAGACACATTATTTAATGGTGCAATAATATTAATACCCTTTATGGTAATTACACATTCAATCAGCCACTTCAGCCAAAATAATACCAAACACTTTCACTTCAAAACTTTCAGCCATTTAAGCCAAATCAGAAATTTCAGCTATTGCAGCCACTACCAAACAGGCCCTATATGTCCAGATAAATTATGGGGGGCGGATATAGCTGCTTGCTTTTGTTTTGCTTCTCAACGGAAAATCCGTTGAAATCCGAAGGGTGTGCAAAGATTTTCAATCGTATTCTTTCCTTTGTATTTTAGGCTTTAAAATCCATGGAAATCCTTAGCAATCCAAGAGTTAAAGAATCCTTAGGAATCCATAGACATTTTGAGGACACCAGAATTCTTATAGGCTCCATACAAATCCAAATTCAGGACACCAAAATTCTGATGTAATTCTAAATTCCTTTAAAAATCCATAAGAATCCATATTGAGGACACTCTCTCACCCTCACAGGCTCACACCCCTTAAATATGGAGGGAGTATCATAAACATGAATAAGAGTAAGGCTATTTTAGGTATTAAGAATTTGTTGGTGTAAATGTATTGCTAAACTGACATGTACTAAGGGCCCATTTGGTATGATGTAAAGTAAACACTTTGCGTGTAAAGTGTGGGGATGTAAACATTTTACACCGTTTGTTTTAATTATTTGAAGTAAACTGTATGACACTTTTTTTAAAACATTTTACACTGTACCATGTAAAATAGTTTACGTGGGAGGAGGGTAGTAAACTAGTTTACATCGGTTAATTAATACCGAGTAATCGAGTATGACTATTTAATACCGAGTAAATTCGCAATTGCTATGCGGAATTTGTTTTTCTGCTAGGTCCTACACATTCCAAAAGCAGAAGTGCAGAACCTTTGGCGTTAATAATAATACTCCGTAATAGCTATCAGTTATGTTTGCGAAATGATAATAGCCTGCGTACTCATTTTCAAAAAGCTTATTACTTTAATTACATTATACTACCTCCGGTTTTTTTTAATCTTCACAGTTTGACTTCACACAAAATAAGGAAAGAAATTTGACTTTACTGTAGAGTACACTGTTGAAGCACTGTTTGACACTGTTGGGCACTGTAGAGACACTGTTGAGACACTGTTTGGCACTGTTTTGATGTAGATTTCTTTGCCAAAAAAAGATATAAGGAAGTGTGAAGTTTATTTTAGACCGTCCCAAAAAGGAAAGTGTGAAGTTTATTATAGAATTGCTGTTAGCTAACCTATTTGTTTTGATATCAAATCAATCTGCCTTTCAAGGGAATAGCATAGAAGGCAAAGTTAGCGGATCGAGTGGCGTTGCTTCCACTTTTACGTGTGGGTTTGTTTTTAGAGCAACATTGCATTTATTTTGCATCTATTTTAAAAATAGATTACGTACCTAACCAAACAACGTATTAATATGCAACGTATTTTTATCTTACATGTAAAATGATTACAATCCTATATTTTACATGCAATCATTTTTGCATGTAAAGTTATACGTAGTAATATGTAAAGAACCAAACGCCCCCAATGATTACTTCCTTTCCTTTGTACCTCATTCCAGCTTAATACACTCGCACTACTAAACGCCGTCTGTCCCGTTAGTGTGACCTCACCACCCACCGCTCTCGGCCGCACGCCTCCGCCTTCGCCACATCGCCTCCTGTAACAACCCGTTTGTTCTCCGGTTTAGATCAAGTTATGGAAATTGGAAAGGCTCTCTCCCCCTTCCCCTTATGAATGCATAGTGTTCTACTGGCAGAGGTTCTTTCCTCGTACTAGTCGCTCTTGTTATCTTTCAGGTTAGGCTTATAACCATTCTAGCCTCTTACATATACCTTTATTTGCTCAATTGCACTTACGGACATTCATAAGGTGCTGGGGTTATAGTAGCAGGACTACAGAGAGTTTATATTATAGAGTATATTTAGCCGAAATCAGTTTAGGATTGCATTTTTAATTTGCTTTCCAATATTAATGAAAACTAAACATACGAACTGTTCGTTTATATGCCTAATAGAGTGCTTCCATTGTTGTTCATTTCAATTCACAAAATATCCTAATCTATATCCACATAAGACTACCCGATTCTCACTTTGAAGGAGATTTTTTGTCATGAATTAAACTCTGGGTGCACAAATGTCATATTTAAGAGTTTAATCATATTGGGTGTTTGTTACTGCAATGCGACCTGTTGTTTTCATATGGGGCAGTACTGGTAGTATATTTAGTAGGATAAACTTGTAAGATGCTTCACATATTTGGTTATATATTGAGTAAAAATTGTAGTGTGCTCATTTTAAAGCAAAAATGTAACTGTGAAGACTAAAAAGAAACATGAATCTCCAACAAAAAGCATACAGATTAAGTATGGTCACCTTTTCTTTGGCCAAACACAATAAATTGCAGCCTATGGCTCTTATCGAACTGCAACAATTTTAAACTTTGTAACCTATTCTGGGAACAGACGACGAACTCTTAGGATTCATGTGCCAGATTTTGCTATCACTGTTAGTATCAAACAATCTATCACAAAGCTTTACTTCAGTTATCTCATTATAATTAGAGAGCCCTTCACCTGTAGTTAGCTTGAGATCTTTGAGAACTTCAGTTGTGGGTCCATGATGAAGCCCCCAGTGAGCTCGAGAACTTCTATTTGAATGAACTAAATGACCCAAGCATCGCCAAGAGTCTATATGTGACCTGTGAAGTATAAAAATATTAATATTACGTTTCAAGAACAATCCACCAACGAGGCAACAAATAACAGAGTAAAAGTAACTATTAATCTGAGAATATGAAAAATATAATTTAAGCTGCATAAAAAATGAAGAAAAATAAATAAATAACCTCTACAGCTCTTCTGCACTTGTTCCATCTTGAAGTAAAAGAATAGTCCATTGATGAAGTAACAAATTCAGGCATATTATCCCTCTCCTAAGTGGATACATAGAGATTGCGTTGCTCAAAAAAATTTCATCTTGAGAAGTTGAGAAATTTTTGTTCTTTTTAAGAAAGCCTTCAATGAGTGAAGCTTGTTTTTGTAAAGATAGTTATTTTCCCAAATCAGCCATTTCCTTCTCCTAGCGTCACTGTTCTTTCTCAGCTTCCTCTTGTTGCTTCTCTATTTTCCTTTTTAGCTCAGGTTCTTTTTATTTAGATGAAGGAGAAAAGATTGATCTTGTAGGCATCTTTTAGAAAAGATTGATCTTGTAGGCATCTTTTAGAAATTTAAGAGCATATTGTTGTTAAAACAAAGCTTATCGTTTTTGTTTTTTATTGCAAGCCTCTGCAAATACAATTTGAAGATATATGTTATAGCCGTCTCAATCAGTTAGCTTGTTTCTATGAAATGCCTACAAAGTTTTTTCTAGGAAAAATATAAAACGATGGAACACACACTTTTTGAGCATTTTTGTGTTAATAATAAAATAAGTACAAGGAAAGAAGGATGGGTATACCAAATCTTATAACCAACCACTTTATAAGGGTATACCGCTCATAAAGACTTTCGTTTTACATATACGATACATGCAAAGGTAATGCATTAGTTTTTAGTCATGTTAGCACTATTCATTCAATTAATAAATATTCTTATGTAGATACGAGAGGAAATGATGTATCACATGTCATTCACATCATCATATTTAGCAATAAGCGAGCTGTAAACTAGCTGGAATTAATAATAACCGTTTTCTTTGCTTTTTCATTTCACCGTTAATAGTTTTATGCTTTAACATGTCAATAAGTATTCAGAGTTAAGTCTCAAAACATTTCCATTTAATACGATTTCTGTAATCGGAGTACAAAGTTATAGCGTAGAAGGTAACTTGCCTAACTTCCCTTTTCCCAAAAGGACAAATCTTTCACATTATTATATGTTCACTCTATTAGAGAATACAGAGTTTTATTCATAGTAAACTATTATAGTATGGAGTACTATGATTCGCTAACCTCCAAAATGAATCTTGAAACTAACTATAAAAAACTAGAAGAAATTGAGTTTGGAATTCCACAATTCAGAACTTAAACATATAATCCTTGTCCATTCTTTGTTTATTAAGTTTTATCATTTATACATATGTATCAAGTAACACATTAAATTTGCAAACATCGACTTTATTCCGATTGACATTCATTTAGCTCCTTGCATTTAGTTCTCATGGGGACATGATTCTATTAATACACTCTGTTTATGCTACGATGGATGCATTAATTACACATTTGTTTTTCAAAACCTTTAATATAGAACATTGCCTACCTGGTATTAAGTTAGTGGACCTTATGGCATGATGTCATGTGGCGTCAATTGTAGCGGCCACATCCCAATTTTTTAAGACGATCCCATTCCTTTTTTGTCATAAAAATCCTTTACTGCAGTTTTATGCATTAATAGTAAAACGTCAACAGTTTTTTTCTTCTAAATATTTAATATTTTATCATAAGTAAGTCTGTTTCTTTGCTTTTACAAGCATGCACATTATTTGTTTATTTTTCCTTCTACTTAAATAGGTAGCTCACGGTACGGAGGGCCAAAACACTTGGATCGAGAAAATTGGCCATCTTCTCTATTGTACTTAAATTTATTTTCTTATGTTTCAAATTATAAGTGCAAAAACTATGCAAGGCATTTGTGTTAAATGAGAAAGCATCTTTTTGTTTGAACAGTGATGATAATATTGAGGCTATTCTATTTTCTCTTCAGTTTAACATTCACCCTTTCTGCTCTTCCACTGCCGGCTGACCTTAATCACCGTCCTAGGCTGCAGACTCAGCGCCCCCTGTGTGCCAGTA